AGGAGGTGATGTAGACTGGCAAACGTAGTTACCCAAGTGAAATACGACTAGGACAATGGCCCAAACACATCTGATCTTTCCGAAAGGATCTTTTAACATCAAGAGGTCAAAACTCTTGATTTTACATCTCATCTAATTTTTTAACAGTATTCTGCCATCAAGACATAGTCTTTGACCTTCTAGAGAATAATCATCAATATGTCTACAGTACAGTAGCTCCATTATTATGCTCTGAATCCTTCCACTTCTTATGTGTAGCTCCTGTGGTCACTGCTGATGCCCATTACTACTCTTTGTAGATGGCAAAGCTACATTGTAAATATGCACATGACAACTGTAAGGCAGATCAATTATAATTAAATAAAAAATCCCAGAACTTTTTGTCAGAGAAGGGCCAAATGATTCCAGTTATATTAAGGTACTCCAGCTTTGAAAAGGGGAGGCCTACAAAAGAGACAGAAATGCACAATTTAATTCTGCAATGCATTTCAAAATTAGTTCTAGGTTTACTATTAACTTTCTAAAGAGGGCCTCTATATCTTTTGCCTCTATACAAAACAAAGAGCCAATCTTGTAATTTCTTTTCTTGAGTGTTTGGCTTGGATTCTGACAGTTTACCCTTTTTCAAGAGCATGGATCAAACTTTTCATATTTAGAATTATCTATTTCCTTCTTTTTCCCTTAGCATCCACTCATCTCAGTTCTTGGCTGCAGTTACTTTAATTGGAAAAAATGTGTTTGGGTTTTCTTTTTCAAACCACTATAATCTTTTGTCATTTTCTCTTGGATCGTCCTAATCTGGCTTGGATAAAAATGTCTGGCAGATGGAGGAATACACAGCTAGTTTCTTCCTCAAACAGGAAGAATTTTGAGGTGGTTTTGCATACTTTTCAGAAAAAAGCCTTTCTTTGGTTTATGTCCTGCTTCTTAGGCTATGTCTAGACTGCAAGCCTCTTTCGAAAGAGGCTCTTTTGAAAGATACCTTCGAAAGAGCCTCTTTCGAAAGAGAGCGTCTAGACTGCACATTGAACTTTCGAAAGAGCGGCTTGCTTTTTCGAAAGAAAGCATCCAGTGAGTCTGGATGCTCTCTTTCGAAGAAGCCCTATTTACATTGAAGAACGCCTTCTTTCGAAAGAGGAACTTTCAAAAGGAGGCGTTCTTCCTCGTGAATTGAGGTTTACCGCCATCGAAAGAAAAGCCACGTTCTTTCGATTTAATTTCGAAAGAACGCGGCTGCAGTCTAGACGCAGGTGAGGTTTTTTCGAAAAAAGGCTACTTTTTTCGAAAAAACCCCTGAGTCTGGACACAGCCTTAGATGTACTGGAAGATATGGAGATGAAGGTCTACAACTCCTCTGAAGATCTGTCTGAGTCTAGAGAACTCCCTCCTTCTCTGGAGTTGTACCTTCCTGTCCTATGGACCTATGTCTCTGCATTGAAATTCAGATAAGGGAGTTTCCAGGACCTGGGCTAAGGTAACAGAGTTTGCTCTTGCTCAGAAAAGTAAATCCCAGTCAACTTCATGCTGTTCAAGATGGCTTAGCTGTGGCTTTACTTTTGCTGGTTTTGCCTCCTAAGCTACAAGCAGGTTGTAGGCCCAATGTAAAAGACTTGGGGACATTCTGATGCCAAAATACCTATTTTCTTCAGAATCATTCTTCAGAATTTCTGAATATCTTCCGTGAGACACCACTGAAAGACTAAGCAGACAGCACACAATTTGTTCAAGAGAGGTGCAATGAGGTGGGAGAGTCTTACGACATGGGCTTAAGATTGCTTAGATATTTGCCCAATGATGGTCTGGTTTTGACTTTTAATTAGACTTAGCAGAATTTGATTTGTATTTAATTCTGTCAGATAATCTCAGTTTATTTTTAAGCATTTTTTATTTTTACGGATTTAAATTTTCCATAGTTGCACAGGATTATGGAGGGGGAAGAGGTAGATTAGACAATAATTATTTAATAACAGACGTTGAGATTCAAAATGTGAAAGCTTTATAAACTGTCAACATCACGTATCAAATTATACCAAGCAAACATCTTTAAATCAAACTCCAATAAGTTCCCGTGCAGCTTTCCTTACTTTACCACTTGGTAAATTCTGATAATCATCAATGGAAATATTTTGTCATTGATTTGTGTGTGTATGATGAGAGTGACATTTACTGATAAAAACGGAATCCTTCCAAGCCTACCTATAATATACTGGAGATATCCTAAAAGATATATCCTGTGAAGACCAGCATATAGCTGGAAAATGAGACTGCCAGGATTACTAGCAGAATCAGTGAGTGTAGTATAAAAGCTGTTAAGGAGAGCAGGGCTGCTAGTGGTCTCCTGATAAAACAGCACTGGACTATACTGTATCTGTGTGCACACTTGGATTTACTTCTCAGAGACAGTACCAAATCATATAGGAACAGTTCAAGCAGTGAAAACATGACCAAGGCTCTATGGGGATGGATCTAGTAAGTGCTGATCACACAAGTTAAACCCACCTACAAGTTGTCAGAGCTCTGTGCTCATGCTTATTCTCTGCAGGATATTAAAAGTGGGAGGGAGAGACACAGGGAGGGGGAGAAAAGGGATCCAATTATACCTCTGTTGCTTATTTGCTCTGATCACTTCACGCCCTCACCTACTTGGAAGGCTATTTTTTTTCAAGATGCTGTTTATTTCAGCTGGGAGATTACAAAGATGTCATGTATTGGACATAAACTAGAACTTCTTTCCCATGTCAGGATAAAAACCAATCCCTTGTCCCCATTCACACAAGTGAAAATCAAGTGCTTCAAATGCACACACCATCAATACATTCTGTACAACAGAACTGTCTGAAATGGGCAGTATATAAGTATTATTAGAAAATAAAGTACATAGTTTTGGTGCTCAATTAAGGCCAATGTCAAGCAGGAAGTCACAACAGATGACCCTCCTAACCTCAGAAATCAAATCTATGACCAAATAAGAGCACAAGTCAGTTAAACTATAGATGAATGTTTCAGCAATGTCCAGATAGAATACACTTGCTGGGCTCCTTAGAGGCCAAGGTACATTTATTCATTTAGGGTACGTCTACACTAGCCCCCTAGTTCGAACTAAGGAGGCTAATGAAAGCGACCGAAATTGCAAATGAAGCGCGGGATTTAAATATCAATCTTGTATAGCACCTCAGCCCAGGATAGATGCTTTCTCAAATATTTAAGAGTTATACCTCAGGTTTAACTGTTAATTTGAACTAAGGGGTTTATCTCGGAATTGCGCTTCTCTGCTGCGGGCAGACACAGCAGTTATTCCGGGCTAGTCAGTTTCCAAATGGCAACCACTAATGAAGTGCGGGATATTTAAATCCTGTGCTTCATTTGCAATTTTGGTCGCCCTTGTTAGCCTCCATAGTTCGAACTAGGGGGCTGGTATAGACGTACCCTTAGTACTTGTTTCTCTACTATTGAAGTCTATGGAAGGTATGACTCTGAATTCAGTGTCAGCAGAAAATATTTGAGAAAGCATCTATCCTGGGGTGAGGTGCTATACAAAATTGAAAAACAAACCCATAAAGCCAGAGTATTTTAAAGACAAAGGCTCTCACACCAGGCCAAAGTACACAGTAGTATTATAGTACAGTCCAATGTACCTTTGACTTTAATAGCTCATTAAGGAATAACATCTGCACAGCACGTGTGGTGGAGGATCAGAAGAAACAAGTTAAAAAAGCATAATAGCATCCCTGAGCAATTTTCCCCACAAGGCTGTTCTTCAATTTTAAGTTACAAGACAGCAATACAAAATTAAATGGAGGAAAAAAAGGAAGAGAGATAAGCAAGGTTCCTCTCTGCCCCCCCCCAGGGCAGGGGAAGAGGGAAGAAATCCTAACACTTTTTAATGTATACCTTGTTTCACATCTCTTATGAGCTATAATAGCTTAAATAGAACTACAGAGTTGTTCCTGGCTTTTGTGATAATAAACTTGTACTTATTGTATCGTTAATTTTTAAAAAATCAGAATGTATACAGGACCAAAAGTTATCTTTATTTAAAGTAAAACTGCGTTAATTTAACCCCCCTGAAAACTGTGGACTAAAGCAAAGTTATTCGTATTTTCACAGGCAAATGCTGTGCAAACATCTTCCCAACATAGAACTCTGCCAATATATCTCATATCTGGATTTAAATACCACCATCATTTTCTATCTCTATTAAAATATGGAATACAATATTCTAAACTAATGGTCCAAACACTTTAGCTTACAATTAGTGAGACTGCAGTATCATAGTGGAACATGAGAGTGGGTTTTTTTCGTTTGTTTGTTTCTAAAACAAGCCCAGTTCTGGGTTTCCAATAAACTGCTAATTTTGGTGCATTGGATCAAAGTCTATGAGGTGGTTTAGTGAAGTGTACATATGGTTGCTAGAAAGAAACCAACATACTTGTAAGCTAAGTGAGGATTTGAACCATGGCCTCCTGATGTGGAAGGCTGTCAATAAGAAAATTAATACATTCATATATAAGTAATTAGAGTATGGAAGAAATACATCAACAGATCCAACTTCAACTTTTAAAAACAACAAAATCCAAGGTTATCCTTTTTTATCCTCTTATGCCTAAATGTTACATTGACCTCCATGTATGGGCTCTGTTCCATATGCTAGGCCAAATATTGCTACCACTAATCATGCTCTAAATCCAAAGTATCTCCTAGTAAACATATACTCTGGATTTCTATAATTAAGAAGAAAATGTAGTGCCCTCTGTGCTAAAATATCCAGACAAATGTTAGATGAGAAAAAGTGAAGTTTGATCTTTAACAGAATGATTTAACATTGGCAGTGGAGGTGGAAGGCAATCCAGCTAGGTCAAAACTTTCACATTATTGTAATATGTTCTGTACGTGTGACTATGAAGAGTATACTGTATAAAGGACAAATCTGGATGCCAAGCTATTGTAGGCGCACAAATCAAATAATGGGTGTAAGCACAATAGTCCATGAGCCAACCTACCATTGTGTTGTGCTGAGAAGTGGGAGTCCTATGGCCACAACTCTCTTGCGTCAACAGAGAAACTGGCTGAAATTCCTCAGAGTGAGGCTTGTTGGGAAAACTCACATGCAAGGGAAGGTGAAAGGCTGGGAGCCCGTCACTCTCCTCTTCTTCCACTTTCTGTCTGCTTGTCACCATGGCTACCTCTCCATCTGCTTCCCCATACGGAGAGGCTGGTCGCTTGGAAGACATCCTGGAAGGAACAAAAGAGGAGAAAATAATGAAACCTCCAAATAAATCCTTAATGCCGTCATTGTGTGGTTAGGGGCCATTGTAACAGAAATGCCTTTTTTGTGCTGGCAGAGAGCAGGAAACCATCCAAATACCACTGCAAAGCATACACAATCGGGAACAATGGCCAAGCAGGTAGCAACAGAACAGTGCTTGTTTGTTGTGAGAATAATACACTAATACAGCACACTCTTGTATTCCAGCTTCTTAAACATGAAAATTCACCTAAGAATGCTGTATAATGAAATACAAATCTTTTTAAAAATACCCCATCTAGTTTTACATTTTGCAAGAGCCTATAGAATATGGATCGTCTCCCAATGTAAACTATCATCAACTTGGCTTTTAAGGGACAATATTCTGTTTTGCTCTAATGATATCCAAGAAAGTAAAGTAAAATTAAAAAAAAATCTCACTTTCAAGTTACAAATGTTGTGTTTATAAAACCACCTATCAAACTGAAGGATAAAATATAGTATTGTTGGAAGAAACTCATAAGCTTCAAAAGTCTGGCATTGATAAGCATTGAAACATTTGGATTCTTAAACTATCTACACTGCATGACATGAAAAAATTGGTTTCTAAACACTGAATGAAGAATCTCTGTCAAGATAACCTGTACTTCAGTTTACAATTGAATCAGAAGCACTGCAAGAGCAGAATATATGGAAAACACAGAAAAACCATACCCACACTTTCACTCAAAACTTGACTCATCCCCAAAATGTTCACAAAATAGTTGTTAAATCTCACACCCTTCTGCATCCCCTGTTTACAGAGGAAACCAGAAAAACTAAAATCTCATGAGAAAAACTATATTCATCATGGTATTTCCATCCAAACCAAGCAGTAATAAAAAAGCTCAAGAGAGAGCCCAATCCCATGAATTTTCCAACCTGGTTTTCAGAACAGTGTGTTCCAGATAAGTATCCAAACACTGGGGACTTACCCAAACCTTCTGAGGTTTGCCATCACTAATCAATTTACCACTGTTCTTGAAAACCAATGCGTGTGTGTGGCATAATAGGCCTGTGTTCTAACAAGCGGCATCTGTAGTAAGGAATGGAATCAAAAGCCAGAAAGAACGGATTTTAGAGCAGGAATCCATTCAGCCAGGATATAATCATGAGGGGAGGCCAGGGAGAGACAAATAAACCAGTTATATTACTAAGACCAATAATGAAAAATGGACATTCATGAGTAGAAAAGTGAACATTATTGTAAATAAAAGTTATATGGAGAAGCTGATCTGAACAGTAGAATAGAAGACTGCTGCTCTTCCAAAGTGTAGCAATTATGATTCTAATTACACCTATTTTTATACTTTCCAGTTAAGACCTGTTTCAAAAGCCCAGCAGCCTCTTGAACCACATGTTGGGCTGCTGTGATGTGAAGCATGTCCATACGATTTGGCACATTGAGTATGAAATGGTTCTTAGCAGCAGTCAACTGGGTTTCAAAACAAACAGCAACTTTAAACACTCTTTTGTTGGGACTTATTTTGCTTTTAATGATCTCATTTTGTGTTCTGCCTGCTAAGCCACGTTAGATTATATTAAGAAATCTCAGACCTCCCAAAACACCCCACCAGGACCTACACACTTACTTGCATGTTTCCAGTTCATCTGAACACTTTCTATTATGGAGAGAAACAGCATGCATTTTCTCTGAATGTTTGTCGTATTGCAACAGACTTTCACCTTATATAGTTCACATTAATTCTTATTTTCTAGACTCTCACATCTTCATGCATCCTCAGGATCATGTGCATACAGACAGTTTACTAGATAGACCCCTCCCCCCCGCTAACAATCCTGTTTTCTTGGCTAAGATACTTTAAGATCTTACGGTAATGTCTGAAGTCCCTGGAACCTAATTCTCCTGCAGCAGCATCCATGTGAGTTACTCATATTCCGCAGCAGAAGAGACATACACACCTATGTTTAAATTTCCAAAGGTGATTTTGACTGCCTGTTTTTGGTTTGAAATGCCTTAAAAAGACATTTTTTTAGAAAGTCTTTTGTCTGAATATCAGAGCCCTTTATGGTATTTCAAGTTGTCATCCAAAAATTGAGGCAGTCAGAACTTTTGAAAATGTAGGGCCTAAATTTTAATGTCATGGAAAAATACTGTCAGCTATTGTCAACATTTTCCATAGTGTTCTACATTGTGACCCTTTTATCCACAGTTAGGATCCTTTTTCTGAAATGAGGCCCTCTTCCACATACTCTGCTTCCATATAACCTAAGTTGTGTGAAAAACTTTTAATGGTGTTAACGCAGAATAAGTGCAAATAATGTTACACACTTCCACAGTGTAGTAGGGAGAGGGGAATCTGACTAGCATTTTTTTCCTTCTAATACCATCCTTGAATATATGGTTCACATTACAGTGCCGAATTAAGTTTACCAGGATTCATCCTCACCTCCTGCTGGCCACTGCTTCCAAAAGGAACAATGAAGTTCTTACAGAAAAATATAAAGAAAGGGAGGGGATTGGGAAGAGACAAGGGGACACATTCTTATTTATTTTTAATGCAGAATACTTTTTTTTTCTTTTTTTTTGTCCACAACATCATGGGCCCAACTCTGTACCACAGTGCAAAGGAAAGAGAGCACAAGAAACTTTCTTCTACTTTGGCCATCGCCCTAGGGTTGCCAGATAGTTTAACCAAAAATACCAAACATCCCCTCCCCCTCCCAATAAAAAAACACCGGGGGAGGGGGGGGGGAGAATTCTGTTGAGAGGAAAAAAAGGAGGTGGAGGCCAGTTGTTGAGGAAAAATATGACCCCAAGCAAAAAAATAAATAAATAAAATAAAGCAGCATTAAAACAGCATAGCCCCTTTAAGTGTATGCAGAGTCAGAATAGGGATAGGAATAGGAGAGGTTGAGCGCTAAGACCCAGGGAAGGCATTGATTCCTCTTGTTCAGGTCTTTTAGGCTTTTTGCCAGCAGCCATCTTGTTTTCTTGGTCAAGCCAGAAGGGAGCTTCCCTGTGGAACCAGGTAAGCAGGGGATCCGGGGGTGAATCCAGGGCCAGGGGCTGGGCCGGGTTGATGAGTGTGTCGTAGGATTGCCAGGAGTCTGGTATTTTCATCTCCTGGAAGGGAAAAAAAACCCAGAAAATACCCCCAGATATTTTAGATGTCTGGTATTTTCTGAAATTTTTTTAACGGATAGGAGGCAAAAATACCAGACTGTTCAGGTCAATACCGGACACCAGGCAACCCTAAATCACCTATAAGATCAGGTCACATTTGCAATAGCAACTATGCTAAGTGTCTGACAGAGAGCAAGGACTGCTCTCCTTCTGGTTTACTCACCCTAATGGAAGAACAACATACAAATGAGTAAGTGCACAGTCCTGCTTCCAGTCTTCACAAGAAACTATCTGCACCACTCTCAGGTTCACTCTCTATACACCTATCATGTGTGACCAGGGATTTCACGGTTGAATTGTGTCCAACTGGCAGCTGGGCTACGACCTGCCCTATTCTTGAATCAATATAAATCTGTTATGATTTGGCCCTGTAATATCATTACCACCACCCTTAGTATTTAATACCAATTCTGTACTATAGAATAGTATTTTCACTACATATATGTAGGAAATTCACACAAGTGACGACAAGACATTAAAATGACTCCAAACTGAAACCCCATCCTAAAGGACAAAGAATGTTAAAGGCTATAGCAGCAGAAAGCATCAAATTGTTGATAGATTCATGGGCAGAAAACAACATGATGTAAAATGAATTCCTTCACAGCTAATCTTTTCATTACTTCCTCAGCTTTATTAGTCCCTCTTACAAATTTTTAAAAACTCCCACCACTTTACATCTTTGAATTCTCTCTTTTTTTCCTCAGATTTTGAACATATTAATTTTCTTATTGGGCTACTTCTAGGTATTAAGTGAGAGTCCCGTATCTTGCACACAAGTAAAGTTGACCTCCAGTTATAAATAACAGTCAAAGAAAAATGTCTAAGTACATACTGTTATTGCTCAAAAACAGATTATCTTTTAGCGGGTCTATGCTTTTCCTTATTTTTTTTAAATTAGGTGTGGCAAAAAAAATACTTATATAACACAAAAATGCAAGCATCTTGGGCCAAACCCTCTCAGCTGAATAGATATTCTTCTCTAAGCTTTGGTTCTTGGTGTAAATTGTATGTTCATACAGAGAGCAAAAAAATAGACACAGTGCAGTTCAAGGCAGCTAAATAATATACCAAATTCTGAGCTTGGATGCACACCTCTCATTGAAATCAAACAAAATTTGGTCAGTATGATAGTATAAATACAGGAAGTGAATCAGAATTGAATTTTTGCCCATCACCAACTTGATTCTACCCATTATAAGTACAAGACAAAGCAATACAGTATGAATTTTTACTGAGTTCACTTAGATTCAGTTTTAAGCGATTTGTAGAGACAGCCTTGAGTTGAATCCATGTTTGATCTGAACTTGTCCAAATACTAACGTGCAACTGAGGATTTTGGTTTGATATTGCACTCCAGATATTCCACCCAATGCTAATTCATTTAATGGGACTCTGTTTTTTAGGAAATACATCTTGGTTTGGTAAGCAGAAGATACTATTAGCAGATCTACCTTTTCATCATGTATAAAAAAATAATTTTGCTGTCAATGGTTAAATTTTTTAGTTCAACAAAATCTTATTATCCTAACTCATGATTGGCTAAGATCATAGATTTTTATCATAGAATAATAGGACTGGAAGGGACCTCAAGAGGTCATCGAGTCCAGCCCCCCATCCTCAAGGCAGGACCAAGCTCCACCTATGATTATCAACTCTGCATGTGAGCTATCTGACAGCAGTAGGTTCTTCATTCCTTCGGCTCCACCTGGCCATTCACTCTCCCTCAATTTATCACCTATTCTTTGTAAATCAATAGCACCAGGATTTCATCCTTAAAGTCAAGAGGAGTTTTGCCAC